GACAGAACTCTAAACCCTGATATCCTATCGTGTGTTCAGATTTTGTGGGGGTTATTTTTAAAATAAATTTTCAGAAGCAATGTTTATTTCTTTCTTTCTTTAATGGTGGTGCTGGGGATCAAACCCAGGACCTCATGCATGCTAAGCATGCACTCTACCACTCAGCTATACCCTCCCCCCAGTTTTGTGTATGTGTGTGTATATATATATATATATATATATTTTTTTTTTTAAATAAAGGCTAAAAAGACTGTGGGTTGAGTGCCTGCTAGTACAAGTTGAGCTCTTGGAAAACCTCGCAGTGATGGATGTTGGAATTTACTGAAACAGTTAAAGCAAGGAATGTGGCTCTAAACCCGGTAAACAAATGCTTTCATTGAAAAGCAAGCAAGTGTGCGCGCGCGCACACACACACGCACACACTACCATACGCCTAATCCATACTCTGCCTTTTAGAGTATGCGAAAAGACAGATGGTTGAACAAACAAATAACTTAAAAGTGCTTGAAAAATTTTCTTCCTAAATTAAAAATTCACAGTGGAATTAATGAGATAAGTTATAGAGGAGAGCATACTTGGACATGACGTGGAGGGCAACGTTAAAGCTCTGGAAACTTTTGCTCTGTTTCTCCAGAACACACTGTCCCTCAGGGGAAATGGAATTTTGCCTTGAATTTGACACTCTGACTTGATTTTGCGCATCAGCATCTGACAAAGAACTGTTGACCCATCTGTAAGAGTTCCTCCAACCAACGAACAGGGTAAGTCTCTCAGGCTACCAGGTCACTGGCCAGTCCTAAGAAAGAAGAGAAGTGTTGAATTTTCCTTTTCGGTTGCTACCCATTAGGTTTCTGGGACAAAAATCTAAGGAAGGAACAATTGCTGAAATTGTGTTATCTGGACATGTGATAAATCAAACGTTTCTCTTTGTGACCTCAGGCAGCAAAGATTAAATTGCCAACTATTTGCAAACCAAAGTTGTTAAAATTGTACAAATAATGAAAAGTTTATTTCAAATGCCAAAATATGACCTAAAAAGAAAGAAAGAGAATTTCCCTGATGGACTAGGATTCATGCATTTATTTATCCAAGATATGCATATGCTAGACGCCAGAGATACTGGTGGGCGTTAGTAAAATAACAGCTTGTTTTTAGCAAAAGTTACTTGCAAAATATTAAGTCTTAGATACTCTTGGTAGGAAGCAGATATGTTTCTTGGTTTTCAGTTCTTTGGAGAGCTTTAGATGTAGTCTTACCTGAATTTGTTCTAATAATTAAATATTTGTAAATCTAACTGGTGTATCGCCTTACAACACTGTCAGTGTTTAGAAATAAAACGAGCCAGGCAGCAAGTCAAAAGAAGTACTCCTGCTGCTTATTTGCTGAAAAGTGGTTCATTTTCAGCTTCTCTTAAAATGGGAATGCATCTTGCTTATTCCAGTCAGAAGGAAAAGCTGTACACAAACCCCACCAAAAACGCTGTGAGAAAACTTACTTGCTCAGGGTCTGCAGGACTGTTGTTTGAATAGCTGTACATTTCATTAGTAGGGACTCTAATTTGGAGGGAAGAATAATCCAGTTGTCTGCAGACTCCAAAGTTCTGTCTGATTAACCACTGATTAGCATTAACTGAGAGGAAAGATCTGCTATCAAAATTCACTCTAGCAAAACTGGAATTGAAAACCATAACAATGAAAACTGCAAGTTTTCTTAGTGCCGTGCTGTGTTCTTTGAAAGCACCAGAGAATCCTTTCAGCCTTTCTGGTGTGGGAATGCAGGCTTTTCTCTGGAGGAGGGCACATTCATGAGAGAGGGCACACACAGTGAGTGTTAGCCAAGGGCCCAGCCTGGGAGCCGGGCCCAGGGTGAAATGGAGATGAGCTCAGCACTTATTCTGCTGGCTCTGTTGGTATTGCTGTGATTTTTATTTCCTTCACTCATGGGTTTTGTGGGGAAAACTCAGAAGGGTTTGGATTCCAGTTATCTGAAGAATTGTGAGAGCTCGGCACCGTTTCTGAGAGCCGTGATCTTTCTGAGCATTTTGATCGTGCCAATAATTTTCAGTCTCACTTTGGCAGCCTATGCCCAGGAGGCCCCACGGAAGAGAGGAGGATGATTCTTCAGGGAAGCTCTGTTGTAGACCACTCAGTGAACGTGGGCCCTGTCAAACTATTTTGTTCACCTCTCATATTTAAACTTAAACCGCTGGCTGAATCTTCTTAAAGTTCCAGTAAAAACTCATATAATTAGCAAAAATTTTATACATGGTGATGCATAACATAGAAACTGTCTTATAAGCACTAATTTGAAAAAGAAAAATAAGTGTAATGTTAAGGGGAAATGTATATAGAGATGCAGTGGGTTGCTGAAGGAGCAGTGATATTTTTTTTAAAAGCTGTTGAGACAGGTTTTTTTGTGTTGGCCAACAGTTACTATTAGGACATTGGGTCGCAAGTGCAACCAGAAATCTAGAGCAAATTAGTTTAGGCAAAAAAGCAATTGATTATGGGTCCAGCCATAATCCATGGTCCACTGCTGGATCCAGGAGCTCCAACGATATTGTTAGCAGTCTCTCCTACACCTCCTCCCATTCTCCATCTCTGATCTGCTTTCCTCTATGTTGGCTTCATCCTCAAACAAAGCATTCTTCCCATTGTGTTGGAAAGGTGGCCATCACCAACTCCAGGCTTATTTCAGCCAGGCTAGTAACCTCAAGGAAAAAGGTTGCCTTCCTCCAAGTGGTTTCCAGAAAAGTCATGGAAATGACATTGATTGGCCTGACTGGGGAGGTGCCCATCCCGGCACAACTGTAGGGTTGTGCTTCACTTCACCATACTTAGATCATGGGCCCAACACAGAACTGGAAGATTGGGTCAGCATCTCAGGAAACAAAACTGTGTGTAGTTAGAAAGTGTGTGGAGTGGTTCCCAGAATGCTAAACGGTATGCTGTTAGCAAAAAGAGGAGGGAAAGTACGTTGATCAGGTAAACACAACTGTTGGCAAGAATTAGAGACACGTTCAAGTTACCGCCAGTGGTAAGATTCTATTGCAAGAACTCATGTGAGTAAATAAAGGAGGGCAGAAAACCATCTCAGCAGTCTTCATGGAGAAATGAAGCATAGTTCCCAATTCAGCTGCAGCTTGAGTCGTCTGGCTGCAACTGCAGAACAAAAAAGTCACTCTAGAAACTGTCACATCCTAGAGTCACAGAGCAGATAGTAGGATGCATTTATGTGCTTCTGTCTTCTGCTCTGTAGCTACGAACTCATTTCTGCTCTTCACTTTTCTCCCTCTAACGGCTTCTGTTCGTTGCTTTCTCTCCATGCGTTTCTCTTCTGTGCTGCTACAGTGATTTCTGCATTCAACATACTTCCTTGCGTTTTCTTTAGAATTTCTCTCTGGTTCTTTTTCTAACAATTTTTTAGTTGAGTAGCTCATTACTTTCCCATCTTTTTTTTTTTTTTGGTTTCCTAAAATATGCAATTAAGGGTATAAATTATCCTCTAAGTTCTACGCTAGCTGTATCCCACAAGTTTTCACATATAGTGCTTTCTATGTCATTCAGTTCCAAGTATTTTATAATTCTTATTATCATTTTTTCTTTATTCTACAACTCCTAAAAAGTTATTATGGAGGTATACTATACATAGAGTGTACAATTCTTAAGTGAGCAGCCCAATAAAATTTATGTATGTATACACCTGTGCATAGCTACTGCCCAGAACGAAGTATAGAACATGCCCAGCTTCCCAAAGAGCTTATGCCCTTCCCCAGTAAATACACGCCTAAGGTAACTACTATTGACTTTAATATTGTGGATTAGTTTTACCTCTTTGTGAACATCATCTGAATTGGAATCATGTATTCCATTTTGTGACTGTGAGATTTATCCACGTTGTAGCAACAGTTGGTTTTTCTTTCCTCTCCATTGCTGGGATTAAATATATTCCTTTGTTCATTCTACTTTTGATGCATATTTAGTTTGTTTCTAATCTGGGGCTGTCATGAATAAAATTACCACAGATGTTCCTATAAACGTCCTTCAATGGATGTGTGTACTCGTTTCTCTTGGGTATATAACTAGTAGCAGAACTGCTGGGTCATGGCACTGACATATGTTTAGCTTTATTAGATGCTTCCAGTTTTCCATGGTGGTTTTCACCAACTTACACTCTGACCAGTAATGTGTGAGGGTTCTCATCATCTCACAGGCCGTTCATCTTTGGTATTGTCCATTTTTCTTCTTCTTTTAAAATTTTAGCTATTCTGGTTGTATGTATAGTATCTCAGAGTCATTTTAGTCTGCATTTCCCTGCTGACTGTAATGCTGAACACCTTTTTCATTGGCCATTTGCATCTCTTTTTTAATGAACTATTTAATCAGACTTTTTGCCTGTTTGTAAATTGGATTGTTTGTCTTCCTAAAATTGAGTTGTGAGAGTTCTTCATACACCCTGGATGTGAGTTCTCTGTCAGTTATACACATTATGAACGTTTTTCCTAGTCTTTTCACTCTCTAAATGGTCTCCTTTGATGAATTAAAGTTTATAACTCAGCAAAATCTAACATTTTTCTTTCAGTGATAGTGCTTGCTGTATCCTGTTTAGGAAATCTTTACCCAAGGTCATGAGTTTTCCAATCTATGAAAGTTTTCCGATCTCTTTTTATTTAGGCCTGCTTAAATTACTTATTGATGTTTTATTTTTTTCCAGGGTTTATTTCTGGATGTTTGATTTTTTTTTAGCTATCAAAAGTGATATTTAAAAAATTTTTGTACTCTTCCATTCTTGTTAATATTACAGAGAAATGTTGTATATTGACCTTGCACCCAATAACCTTATTAAATTCACATGTGAATTTAAGTAAGTTGTTTTTGTGTGGTGGAGATGGCTTGGATATTCTACATCCACATTCATGTTATGTGTAAATAATGACAATTTTTATTACTTCCTCTCCCAACTCTACGCCTTTTATTACTTCTTGCCTTTTGGCACCCATGAATTTTTTGTAGTGTGCTTCTAAAAATTCTAAAACATACGAAGGTTTCTTCTCTCTTTATATTGTTAGTTTCTCATTTTGCTGCACTCTTTTTGGAAAACAAGTTTTATGACATCAATTCTTAGGAATTTATTAAGCCCTGCTTTGTGGCCTAGTACATGATGAATTCTTGCATATGTTCCATGTTGCTTGGTTCCCAGATTCATGTGTCTAACGGTGGAGGGAGATGCACCATTTATCGGCCGCTGGCTTCAGGCACATGCCATATCCTGTAAGACAGCGTCCTAACCTTGAGGGTGCTTTCCTTGAGCGGGTGCTAGAACTGTGTCTTCAGTAGGCTGTGTGCTGCTCTTCTCATAGTCCAGTCGCTAACTGGAGACGGGGCACAGGGCAGGGTCGGTGAATCACAGTCGTGTGAACTCATAGTCATACTTTCTTTGCTGTAAAGTGTGTCTCCATACTATGACTCAGTGGTCAAGGGCCCACTCATTTCCCAATAAGTGCCCCTATTTTAATGTACCAAACTTCATAGGTTTGAGCATTTCACTGATGCTGCAGTCTTTATAATCAGACCCTAGGCTTGGTCCTCAGGCACATCTTTCTTCAAGTATCAGAAATAAGATACTCTTTTAAAGCGGCTATCAAGATTTGCTAACATAACCAGAGTTCTCATTCGATTATTTAAATTCTCCTTTTCCTTACATCTGCCCTCTAGGCACATCAGAATAACCCAGAGGACAGCATCATCCCTAAAATCATTATTGTTGTCACACAATCAAGTTCCATACCTCCTTGATTTCCCAGGACCTTGCCCTTCTGTGTCATCATCATATTTCAAACACCTATCTCACTGCCCTGAAAACAGGAGTGCTCATTTATAAAAAGCCAACTTTTAGTTTTCCTAGAAATGATTGCACTCTGCTATCTACTGCCTGGCTGCTCCAGCTTTGTTGTTGTGTTGTTGTTTTGCATCGCTGGGACTGGCTTCAGTTAGGGAACTTTTCCCTCAGTCTCAGAGGAAAATCATTCAGATCAATCAATCAAATCTCTTTTTCATATTTCTCCCACAGTGTCTCCTGAATTCTACTCAGTTGCCCCTGGCTAGTATCTTTTCATCTCCTACTCTACTGACTCATATCCTCTTCCATCCTATACCCATCCCAACAGGTGCCAGTCAGCCATTACCCAGCATTCTGTTTCATTTCTGGCCACCACCATCTTTTATCTCAGTTACTATAATAGACTTTCAGTTGGTCTCCTTGTCTCAATTTTCACCTCTCTAATCCAGTATTTATATGGAAGCCAGAATGCTCTTTTTACAATACAACTGTCATTAGGTTCTTTCATGCTTAAAACTTTCCAATGGTTCTACACTGCCCTGGGAAAAAGTCCAAATCTATTAACACAACTTTCCGGAAGCTTTGTAATACACTCACTAACCACTTTTCATCCTCATCTTTCTTTTCTTATCTTGGTCCCTTGAGCAAAGATTTTGCTTAGATATTTCAGCTCCGCTACTGTAAATTCCAGATGAAAAAGAGACAATTGAATGTTTGTGCCTGGGCAGAAGTATTAGCAAGGTAGCAGCACCCTCTAGTGGCCAATATGGTGTTGGTGGGGCCCATTAGTGAACGTTGAAGGTGAGAATGAATCTGAAAGCCTCACAGTGTGTTTACAGGGTCACCAGCCCATTTACAAGTGGAACTTCTTTCTCCATTGCTTCTTGCATTTTGGAGAATGCAGAATCAATGTTCCCAAGGACGGTGGTGTATTTGTCATTGTCTTCAACATCTATTTTTTAAAACACAAAAATATTTTTCAAATGCATATTTAAAATATTGCCCCATAATATGCTTATAACCTAAAATCTTTACAGTGCTGAGAAATGACTTTGGAGAGGGAAAAACATGGTCTGACTACAGCTTTCTGATGAGCTGACAACATAGTGAAGTAGATTTCCGGCTTCCAAAATTTCATGTTTTCCATTGAGCCATTGGTAAGAGACTAGTGGCTTTGAAATCTGTTCTTTTCTTGAGACACAAATGTGATTTACATGGTTGGCCAACATCAGGGGTTCCTTGTGGTTTTGTTCTTTATTCACTATCTGATAGGCAGTCACTCCCAGCAAGATTCTGAAGAGGTCACATCATTTTTAAAATTTCAAGTGTATTGCCTCCTGTGGAAAAATTATATGCTTTAGTAAGTACTCACAGATTTGGGTGCTCACAAGAGTCTGAATATGTCCCCTTTCTGAATATCCCTGTGACTATCTTCAAATAGATTAAGGAACTGTGAAGAATAATGAATAAATGTGCCCATTTGACTTTCTCTGAAATATCTTCTGAAATATCAAAGAGATCATCTAAGTCTTTACTAGGAAGCAATCTGTGGGGGTTGGGAAAAAATATAGGTATCCCTCACTTTCTGAATTCTCACCATCTGAAGATTACAAACAATTTTACTCCAAATTCACTCTGAATGAAAATCCACTGTAATAAATCTGCATGTATCTGCCAGCCAAAATATGTATGTTAAGTTTCCCATCTGGAACAGAGGCTGCAGAGTGCACTGCAGATCTAGCTCAGACCTTTTCCAGACAGAATGGATCTTTGTTCTCCTTGTTTTAGTTTTGATCCTTTTGCTTCAGGTGAGGATTCTCAATCATTGACTAAGTCTTTATTGCCAAGTTGAGAAGACCGTCTACCTATCCCTTGAATTTAGACCTGAACAAACCTCTGGCATGTATCGCATCACTGAGCTCCTTCACTACCTCACTCTCTCTCAAATTTCCCCCATCACCAAACCTCTACCAAGACCATGGTCCCTCTTCCCTTCCACCACCAAACCTCACTTGGGCAAGAAAGTGTACCTGACATAAAGATGATGGGAGTTTATTTATTTTATGAAGTTTTTCACATACAAACCTTTATCAGATTGTTATACCGATCCTGGGAAATGAGGAAAAGAGAAACTAAAAATCCAGAATAAAATTAAATTGCTACTTTCTAGATTATGAACCCTCCAAGGGCAAGCGTATGGATTTATTCACTTTCCAGTCTTTATCTAGGAGAGCAGACTGATTGCAAAAATGAGCCAAGTTCTTCCCTCACACCCACCTCCCGCTTTTACGAAGTTTCTGTGGTGGTTCTGTACTGTATGAAGTTAGCTAAGCTGGAACTAGTCTATCCTAGCATTCCATTCCCCACATCGTTGGAGGTTAGTGAGCCACAGGAGAGATTTTGAAAGACAGAAGCGATGAAGCAGCCACGATATTCCTTTTTACACCTGAAGCTTCTCTGACTCTGAGCCAGATGCACATTTAACTCCATGAAGAACACCAGCTTTTCCTGTGCATCATCCATCATCAAAGTTGGAGGCTTGGAGGCAGTGAGAAAGTGATGTGGGTTGTGGCCTCACCCTCGCAGGTCCAGTTCCTTCTTCTTCTTCCACTTCGTATCCATCTTTCCTTTTTGATTGCTTTATCGGCAGACCTCAGGCTCCAGGACCAGATGAAGCAGCAGCCTCCCATGGACTGTTTACCAGCTCCCACAATTAATAAAGTCAAATTTCTATAGTCGATTCCTTATTTTATATATATATATATACACGTATATTTACATTTATAGAAATATAAAATATATTTATATTCAATATAGTATATATGTATCTTTATTGTTGTTGGCTTATTCTTCTACTGGTTCTGCTTCTGTAATGGAGCCCGGACTGACACAATGTCTTTGCAGCTCCCCTCTGTCCCTGAATCTGGGCTGGCCTTGTAATTTGACTTTGGTTAACAGAATGACACAAAAGTGACAGGGCCCAGTACTAAGCCTGGGCCTCAAAAAGCCTTGCACATTCTCTTGGAACTCTGTAACTGCCATGTGCACTGTCCAGGGCAAGCCTGCTGGAGGTTGAGAGACTACTACATAGAGGGGAGACCAGTTGTCCTAGCCGAGGCCATTCTAGACCAGCCTGTAACCAACTGTCCCATCAAAATATGAGCAAGCCCAGCCGGGAGAAGTGAAGCTGCCTACCCAACCCCCAGCTGACCAGAGACGACCCACCAGCTAACCTGTAGTCTCTCAAGCAGGAATAAACACATATCACTTAAGCCACACATTTTGAGGTGCTTTTGTTTCCCCCACAATAATGGCTAACTGATGCATCCAGCATATTAATTTTTCCTCCTTTCATTGCAAAATATAACACACATACAGTAAAGTACATTAAAATAAATAAGTCTAACAAGTAATTATAAAGTGAAAATGCATGTAACCACCCCCAGGCCAAGTAAAGGAACATTCCTGGCACCAAAGAAGCTGCCACCTTCCCCAACCAGTGTTGCTTCTCACTTATGACCCTATCCTTCCCCACTAAAGTGACATTTGAGAAAATTTGTTCTCTTCCTTCTTTGGATAGCTTCCCATGAATTAGGGAAAACAGTACTGTTTAGTTTTGCCTGTTGTCAGCCTTTATGTTCTGTATGATTTTTTTTGCCAAGTTTCTTTTGCATTATCAGATCCCCTCATGTTGTCCTGTGTAGCTGCGTCTGTTCATTTCATTGCTATGTAATGTTCCACTTTATGACTGCACCCAAGTTTATGGCTATTTGGGCTACTTCCAGTTTTGGACTATTATTAGGATTTGGCTTTAAATATTCTTGTATAAATATGCTGGTATACATAAATGGCTCTCAAAATTTTGATCCCAGAAACTTGAAAATTAAATAAAAATTTTAAGTAAAAATGTTAAATTATAAAGATCTGAGGCAAAATATTTATTAATTCATTTAAAATAACAATAACAATAATATACAATGGAATATTACTCAGCCATAAAAAGAATGAAATTGTGCCATTTGCAACAACATGGTTGGACCTAAATGGTATTATGCTAAGTGAAATAAGTCAGACAGGGAAAGACAAATATCATATGATCTCACTTACATATGGAATCTAAGAAACAAATGAACAAACAAAACAAAACAGAAACAGACATAACTACAGACAGCAAATTGGTGGTTGCCAGAGGGGAGGGAGGTGGGATGCTGGGCAAAATAGGTGAAGGAGATTAAGAAACACAAATATCCAGTTATAAAATAAATACAGTAAATCACAGGGATGTAATACACAGCACAGGGAATACAGTCAATAACACTAGTAATTTTGAAAGGTGACAGACGGTTACTGGACTCGTGATCACTTAGTAACATATTTGTCGGATCTCTATGCTGTACACCTGAAACTAACATGATATTATATTTCAATTATACTTTGATTAAAAAAATAAATAAAATGTCAGTAATAAACCCACTACATGTTATATTCGTTTCCTGAGGTTGCCTAACAAATCACCACAAATGTGGTGACTGAAACAACAGGAGTGTATTCTCTCACAGGTGCAGAGGCCATCAGTCTGAAATTGGTGTTGCCGGGATGGTTCCTTCTGAGGCGCCAAGGGAGAATCTGCTCCACGCCTTCCTCCTAGCTGCTGGTGGCTCTGGGCACTCCTTGGCTTTCCGTGGCTTGTAGAAGTGTCACTGCAGTCCTTTTCTTTTTTGTCACATGGCATTCTCCCTGTGTGTCTGTGTTTGTGTGTCTCAAATCTCCCTCCCCTTTCTCTTATAAGGACACCAGTCATTGGATATAGGGCCCACCCTATATCTCGGATGATCTCATCTCCAGATCCTTAATATCACCTGCATAAACCCCACTTTCAAGTAAAGTAGCAATCACAGGGACAGGGAGTTAGGACTTGGACATATACACAATTCAATGTACTTCATATGTTAACATAAATAATACATTTTTAAATGAAAAATAGCTGTATTTTCCCAATAAAAATTCAGTGATAAGAGTGATATTGCTTTACATTTGTATAAATCTCTTTAACATCCAGATTCATACAAGAAGCTGAGTACTCACCTGCTTTTACAATCAGACTGTTACATAATGTTTTGGTTGAGATATCTGATGAAAATCCCCTCTCATATAGAAAATCCAGACCCTCTGAAGGGGTTTCTAGGCATCCTCAAGGTCTTTGGAGCACACTTTGAGAAACCACTGCTCTAAAGTGTATGAAGTATATGCAAAGTGGAATTTTTAGGCCATATATATAACCTTGTACTTTATTAGATAATGCCACGTTGTTTTCCAAAGTGGTTTGGAAATTTACATTTCCACCAGCAGTGTATGAGGGATAGTTATTTTACTTGCTAACCAATATCTGGTATTGTACTTTTAAAAATTTGCTTATCTGGTGGTGTGTACTGTACTGCATTGTGGTTTTAATCTTATTCGTTCATTCTTTGTTGGTATTGCCATTTTACGTATGAAGAAACTGAGGTTTAGAAGACCTCAGTTGCTTCATACATAAGATCAAAAGTCAGAGTTTT